AGCAAGATGACCCCAAGAGCAAGACAGCTCCCAAGAATGTGATGATAGGGAGAGGACCTACTTCTCTTCAAACTGTAAGAAGATAGTTCTTGAAACCTTATTTATAAAATTATTAATGCCAATTTTAAGGGACTGATCAAAATATCAACTTTTCCTCATTGGCTGATGTGATGGCTAGTTTCCTATGTCAATTTGGCTGGGCTCTAGCACCCAGTAACTTAATGAAACATTCATCTAGGTGTAGAGGTATTTCACGGTTAACATCTACAATCAGTTGACTTTAAAAAAAGGAGATGATGCTAGATAATGTGGGTGGGGCCCCATCCAGGTAGTTGAAGGCCTTTAAGAGCAAAACCGAGGTTTTCTGAAGAGAAAGAAATTCTGCCTCAAGACTACAGCATCAGCTGGGCATGATGGCTCATAACTGTAATCTCAGTGCTTTGGGAGGCCAAGGCAGGAGGATTGGTTGAGCCCAGGAGTTCAAGATTAGCCTAGGCAACAGAGAGAGACCCTATCTCTACGGTCAGAAATTAGCCTTGCGTGGTGGCACTAACCTGTAGTCCCATCTACTCAGGAGGCTGAGGTGGGAGGATCGCTGGAGTCCAGGAGACTGAGGCTACAGTGAGCCATGATGGTGCCACTGCACTACAGCCAGGGTGATAGAACAAAAACAAAAACAACCCCCCCTAAAAAAATCCCTACATGCTCAAGTCTTATATGAGTTTCCAGCCTGCTGGCCTGCCCTATGGATTTCAGACTTGCCAGCCCTCATAAGTACGTAAGCCAATTCCTTGAAATAAATCTCTTTGATTCTGTTTCTCTTGAGAACTCTGATAAAGCTGGTATCCAACACGCATTTAGGAAGTTACCACTACCATCTTTAGTTAACTATTATGTGGGCCAGTAGCCAATATATTACCATCATGGAGTGTGCAGGACAGCTGTCTTCTCTGCTTCATCTTAGTTCACACAGTCCAGATTTAAACATGTTTACACTCTTACATTCTTATGCAAAAACCTTTCAAATGACATTTAACATCCTAGTA